AGTGTTCCATATATCGTTATATTACTTTGAACTGAATATCGGTTATGAATTTTCAGAATTTCGTTGTGGAACAGGAGTAGGAGCTGCCATCCGAGTTGAAAAGGTTAATTAGATAATTATCCATGATATTAGTGATACTAATACTGAACTGAGTACGCACCATTTCGATTTTAAATATTATTGTTCCATCGGTACCTGGTTTCTCATAATATTCGAACATAATTTCATATCGTAATGGTAATTTCGTAAAAATTGTATCGGAATGAAACATTGCTTCGAAACATTTACATTTTTGTAACAATGGAATAATCTTGATTACCGATGCTCTGTTCAACCGCATTGTATTTCCGTGCCATTAAAACGCGATGGGAAATGTATTATAAAAATATCTATAGGAAGATGAGATATATGGAATTAACCGAACGAGAGAAAAAAGTCATAAATCTTCATAAATTTACGTACGTACGTATTACATCGTCATTAGCATTGCACGTTTAGTTTTTCCTCCCTTTGCCATTCGAATCGAAGGAACTGGGTTGCCCGTTTTATCTCTAGCCCCATTGATCGTGAAACTTCCGGTGCAACAGCCTGCTTTATTACTCGTGTCTCTGGGCTCTATCGTTCCGAATTACAAAATGGAAAGGAGGAATCTGTCGAGGATGAAATATGTCACTGTCGAACTATGAAGTATTACAGCAGCAATACTTCAAGTAACGTGATCCAACAGGAAGACAAAGTCGATGGAATATTATACGAAACCTTGCGACGCGCTATGTGTCTTATATTTCCACGATGGACGGTGTTTTAGAAGCTGGATTTCGAGACAATTCAAAATTCAAATTATCTAATTAATCGGATTATGTATTCAAAATTGATTACGTATAACCAACCTATACGCATAAACAAGTAAATCGAACGGAGTTAACGCTTCGCCAATCGAATTTACTAATAAACCCACAGATCAATCAAATACGAGCGTTCAATTAAACCTAAACACGCTTATTGCCGGAATATCCTGTATACACACGGTTAGATAAAATCATAACAACCCATAATCAATATTATTCGCCACGTCGATGCTTTCTATTGGTTGCACGAGTTATGCTTCCCTAATGTTTCTCAGTGTCGTTACCCTCTGTTTCTCTGAAACCTACCCTTTCTAAATCCTTGCACACTCCTCGCAACGATTCAAGAACAAACGCAATGAAGCTGCAACTGGAGTCTCGAGTTAAAAAATCATAGCCCCTCAAAGAGGTTTAGCTACAGTACCTTCGAACAAAACTTCTCTCCCTTACGGAGACTGGGTAAATAAAAAATGAAGACGTGAGCCCGTGGCACGAGCCAAGGAAGCTGTCTTCGTTGAATTATACAGAGCCGACGGTTGTCGCTGCGCCGCGACGCGGGAGGTCAGAGGAGGTTAAAAAGCCGTCGTAAAGCGTCGAATCGAAAGGCTGGGGATAGCAAGACCCCGTGGGGACGCTAGTTCACTTACGATCGTTTCGCAATTGTGGCCCCGAAATCTACGTCGCACCACCACCGTATCTCGTGGAATTATTGCGCACCTGGGAAGGAAGCTTAACTCCTTGCGCCATGATTTAAGCTATTGCAGTGCGTGGCGTAGTCAGTGATGAAGTTGTTCACGCGGGAACTCTCGCAATAGTTCACGAGACTCGTGCTTCTTACGTTTCACCTGTGAAATCTACCGATGAATCTCATGCTTTTTACGTTTCATTCGTGAATCTACCGCAAGTCTGATTCGTTTTATGGCTCATTCTTGAATCTAATTAGTGAGTCTCATTGGTGTCATTTATATCTCATTCCCGAATCTACCTCGAGTCTAATAATAGGTTCCTTTTATGTCTCATTCGTGAACCTAAATCTACCGCAAATCTAATCGATGCTTTCTATATTTCATTCGTAAATGGAAATAGAAAATAGAATAGAAAAACGGTGCTTCTTATGTTTATTCCGCGAAATCTCCAAGTGTTAGATCTCCTGTGAACCTCTTTGATAAAACACCGCTCTCATAGGCTTGTTCTAGCCTACGGTTATACCGTTCTTAGAACAAACAGCCTCCGATTGTTTGGTATCAGACTTTCAACTATTCCACGGTAGCAAACTTCTGATGGAATACCTACTTCAACTCCGATAAAATTTTGTTGATTGGTATAAAGTGTCAATCTATGTTTGGCTGAGGTTTGCGTAGTGGAATTTGATTCGTGACCCTCGTATTTGGCCCATGAAATTTACCCTGTACCTCGAGGCTTCCGTGCGTTTATAATACAAGAGGTTAAATATCGAGAAGCGACACGGTTGTCATCCACCATTAGCGTAAAGCCGATTTCTCGACGATTCGAATCGCGTTTCAAAATATTTAAGCGATATTCCGTGCTACGTAAACAGAGTTATCACGGCTTGCAGGGACCTCCGACAATGGTGGCCAATCGTACAGGACGAGCGTATCGCCCCGTGTAAAAGCGCAAAAGTATTCGGAACGATTTTCCATGACGAGTTCGGGAAGCGACGGATTCTTTCAACGATTATTTTATTTCATCCCCGAATGGACAGGGGCGGAATAAAACCGGCTATCTTGTTTTACTCGGGAAAGTCGTAAGGAAATTGATTGGATCTTAAGCAGCGATCTCCTTCGTCGATTTCGTGCTAACGCGGGTTCAACTCTCGGTGTTATCTGTATGCGTTTCGTTAACCCGAGGGTAAGTGGAAATACTGGTCGTGGAATTTTAGTGGTAAGTGAACGGGAATGGGACGTGCGAGCGTCGAAGGGGAAGAAGAATGCGAGGAAAAGAATAAATTTTTCTGAATGGGTGACCTACATTGTCGGCGATTTTAATTAAACAATGAAGGCAGAACGTGGGGTTCTTCGTTTATTTCTTGTTTAGCTGCCATGTATCCGAAGAAATTCATTTTTAAGCTTAAATCAGCCGTAAAATAAAAATTAACCGTGCCGGTGGATACGTAATTAAATGGAGGAACGTTAAACACGATACCTTTAACCCGTAACTATTGACATCTAGTTTTCGATGTGATAGATCTATTAGGCCGAAAATTAAAAAATCAAACGACAGCATTACACGGGGGAAAATTTTTCCTTTGAACAATCTCGGCAGAAATATTTTCAGTGCAAACGGGAAAGTAACAAGTTACACAAGCTATCGTATATTTCGGGGTACATGGTCGTCGAGTGAGTCTAAATTATTCGATCAAGCAATTTTCCAATCGTTTTACGCAACGTGCATTCACGTCACAGGAACCTCAAGAACGATGCTCATAAAAATCGATTTTCCATCGAAGCAGGGGAAGGAAGGTCAGAGTACGTGTTACAAATTCCGATACGCGTTGGCAACGATTATTGCTTTTCGCGTTCATGATCAGCCTCCGATTTCGATACTCGAAAACACGGCATTTCACTGCCAGTAAATCGCGTCGTGTTTAAAACAAACCCCGCAACCTCGTCCTTCTATCCGCAAAATATTTCGAACCGCGTAATTTCGGCAGGAAACAGGAAGGGGGTGAAGAAGGCGGAAAATGATGGGAAAATATGTTCGCCGATGACGTATGAACCGCGTAATTTCGGCAGGAAACAGGAAGGGGGTGAAGAAGGCGGAAAATGATGGGAAAATAACATGTTCGCCGATGACGTGTTTCTTTTTAATAATATTCGCGCGTTTGAAACGCGTGGCGAGAAACAAATACATAACGAAGGGAACGGTCACTTTAATGAACGCGAAACTCTTATTGTTCCGTTCACTCTCTTTCTCTTTCTCTCTCCCTATCTCCTCCACCCTCCTATTCGCCACTCGTTCCAATTTCTCTTCCTACTCTTTTGCATAAGCCTTATGAAAACGTCCTTATTTTCGCGAAACTGGGTTACCATTTATTTCATCGAGTCTCGAATCGCGTTTCCGGCTGCTGTCTCGGCCAGAATCGCCCAAAGGGAACCGCGAGCATTCCGCGTCGAGAACAGAACAGTTTCCACGCTAATTAACGCGTAACCGTGCGGCTCCACGCGAAATTTCTTTTCGCGTTCGATCGATTGAACACCTGCAAAGACTCGACATTACGAGTAGATCCGCTTGGCGAAACTCGAATTATCGAACGAGAATAACAAACGCTTGCAAAAATCCGTCGATGCTTGACGCGATTTTAACGCTATGCCGTCCGGTGGCACCACGTTGGTGTCATGCGAAGACTATCGGGCAAATCCCGATGACACCATGTTGGTATCATACGAAAGAATCCCGATTAGACAGCATAGTGTTAATATAAATGTGCCGGTTCCCGAAGCTTTGTACCGATCGTTGTTGCGGCGTTCGAGGAAGCGAATGAATAGCCTAAGATGAAACTCGCGAATGCGTTTAATATCGCGAAACGAAGGAACCCGGAATGCTTCGTGGAATACATTGAACGAGGTAGAATTGCATTTCTAAATGAAATTTATTACGTGCGACTGAAACTGTTTACCGGTAGATTTACAACGCCGACGCTTGGATGTAAAACAAGCGGAAATCCTTTGAGAATTCTGTTTCCTATTGCGATTTCATTAACGTTTCTCCACGTTTCTCCGCGCTTCCGATGGTTCGACGATTCAAATGACGAAGAAAAGTTCGAACACTTTGTTACATCTCGCGATTATTCGTAATTGAATTTTCTTTGCGTAAATCGACGAAGATGGAGGAACCGAGGCGACGATGTGCATGCACCGTGTACATCTGCGAGATATTCGGGCAGAAAAGATTGGGTCGGAAGAACAACCGATGATCGCGATGCGCGGAGACTCGAAACGCGAAACGAGGACGGTGAAGGGTGGAATATATGAAGTTGGAAAGAGTCCCATCGAATATTTCGCGAATGAACCCCTCGACAAAGCCTGATGGATTTTTAAACGTGCCCCCGATATTTCAGCACGATCATTTTCCGATCCAATAAACAGCGGCGCGATATCTTGCCGCGGTGAGAATATGAGCCGGCTCTGTTTTTACCTGAATGGAATCCTTGCTAGCCTCTCGTAAAATATTCCTTGGCTGCGTGTATCCCGGCCCGTTGCTGTACAGTAACGTTGTGTACGGTTGTCCATCAACATCCGACACCTTGCTGTCAGAACCTGAAGCAAAAAGGAGCACGCGATCGGATCATCAATCAGAGGTACATTACCCGGGCGTTGTACATCGAGCACCGACGATTAAAAGAAGTTCGAGGCTGGGTATCATTAAGTCGTTATTTCGCGAAAAATAGATGCCGAGAACAATGAGATATCCTGGCTTTTTATTCGAGCAAAACAGCTCGATCACTCTAACGATGTTGTTCGCCGGGTGATGGATAGGTGCAATTTAGTTTGGCGAATGATGAATGTTAAAAGGGAAACTCGCAACCATCGTGGTGTATAGAAAATGTGAAACTGTTTGTCGAGATAAACAGGCATGAACTTTTATAACTTCCGCTTGTTAGCCGGCTGAACGAAGATTTCGCCTCTAACGCGGAGACCTTTGCTCTCGACGATACCATCCACGACTCTCGTGATAATAATTTCTAGTCACGATTAGCAAATATGGCGTTCGAACTGGATTCAATTTCAACCGTGCTTGCAGATAATCGCGAACGTAACTGTATTCGCGATGGCGTAAACGTTGTGGACGTAAGAAAAGTGCCGGCAGACAAGAGCGCAGTGGATGGTTGAAAAATAAAGCACCCCTTGGTTTGACAAACTCGGTGAACAAAGGAGGGTCGGAACGATTGTGGACAAAGCCGACGCGGAGGAAGAGAAGCGAAGGAAGAACGCGGCTAGGCTGAACGCTTCGCGGAGCTTGGTCGGCCCGACGCTAAAACATTCCAAACGTTCCCGGCGTCGAATCCTCTTAAACGGCGGCCGATCCCTGCATCAAACACTTCAATCATGCGCCGTGAACCGCGGCGGACGATGAAAAGAATTCCGTCGCGAATTCCGCGGGCGTGATCGCGCGCCGAATTAAGCGCCGTTTAAACTGCTATCTTCCGGCGAAACTCGGCCGGCCGTTGCAAAACATTAATTGTTAGAATGAACCGGGCTCCGTTGTTTCATGAATAAGTGGTTGTTCAGCTGCAGACAAAAGGGGGTGAAAGAAGGGGGAGAAGAAAAGCCGGCGGGCGAGTTAGAGGAAGGAGACGCGAAAAGCGAAAGAACCGGAAGAATAGACTCCAGGACATAGCCGCTGGTGAATATGTTTTATTCAAAAGCGTTCTCCCTCGTCCTCCTGTTGCTACTTGCGTGGGAATCTTAAAAACGAGGAAAACGACGAGAAGGAAGGGGGAAAAAAGGAAAAAAAGTTTAACAATGTATAATTTAACCGTTTATTTGTCGTGCGAATGTAGCAGTCGCATTAAACCTCGTTATCGTTTCCCTTTAAAGATCTTGAGAACAGACCGCCCAGCCAGCAGCGAGTCGCGAGCGTACACAATGCATACCGGAATTATAAACGCGAGTTCAACTGGCAAATGGTAGTCGGTAAAGAGAGCAAGTTGCGAGTATATTTATACAAATTTTATCACCCACCCCGGAATCGTTTGTTATTCTTTAAGTAGAAACAGCCTGTGCCGGTTAGTCATACTTAGGTCTATAGACCCGCTACTGGTCAGACGCGTTTGGTACGAGAAATTATTACGGAATATCGCGTGCCAGTTGCTTCCACTTCGCTTTTTCCACTTGGACAAACTAGCTTCCTACTAATTAAGGGTCTTTTACGAAGAGTGCTGAAAGCACCAAATTACTCGGACATTCGCAAGATTCCGAACAATTCTGCAGTAAGTGCCGTATTGTTCAATGGACGTCCTCCTCGCCTTGTTTCGCAATCAGGCCTTCCGGCAACGATATTCTTGTATTTCGTAGCGTAACACCGAAGTTGACACTTTTCACAGAAGCTGATTATTTTCTATTACCACCCTATTCCGCGATAAGGAATAAACTTTTTGTCGACATCACGACTTTGCGAAGATTTAATTGTCTTCGACGATCATTAGAGCATCGTCATTGGAAGGTCCTTCCATTCCACGAATTTCGTTTCGCGAATCAGAAATACCGTCGGAAAAATTAAATTCCACGCAATTAAGGGGGCGATAACCGTTCGTCGTGTCGATTTCACGCGATATACGGGGAGAAATAATCGAAAGTCGGCCGTGGAATTGTTCGTTGGACAAAACCAAGATGGCGGCGCGTCGCTGAAAAGCTAAAATTGCGGCGAGTAACGCACACGCGTCAGCTCGCGTTCGTTTCTGCAACGATCATCTTTATTTATCGTCCCTTCGAATAATACTATTCGAGGCCAATTGCTCGAAAGGAATACGACCACGGGATAAAGCGCAGGACGCATGGCTGTTCGGGATTTCTTTATTCGGCCCACCCCTGACCCGCCCTACCGACTAAGCGGGTTGTGGTTAGTTTCAACTGCTCGTTATTTAATTATGCTCAATTAGTCCGCTAACCCGACTGGTATAGGCGCGCTATTCAGTGGAAATAAAATTGAGTTTAAAACGCTTGAGGTGTTTCCCTTTGAACTTCGCGTTCCTTCCTTTGCCGCGTGTAATGGCTCGTTTGGTGAGTATTGAAAAACCATTACTCCACGTTCCGCGTTGCAAATGTAACGGGCTACAAAAGGTTTGATGTGTTAATACCGTGTCGCTGTATTTTCTGCGCGGACAAATACATCCCGTCCGTTGATAAAATGGCCAATGTCGCGAATCCTCTAGCCGTGTCTGTTTGCGCAAACATTTCGTAAATAACGCTGTATTTCGTACTAATGGAACACCGGAGATCAATTGTTTTATGGAAATTGAAATTTCATAACGAGCTGCGCATCGATTTATTGATTCTTGTATCGCCACGTGACACTTGGCGTTTCGGAGCGACGTGAACGTTGAAACTGTTTAACTATTTCTATCGATTTATTCACAATATGCCGTCTAAACTGTATCGATCGATGGAAGTCGCGTTGAGCGAGCAAAACAAGAACAATAGGACATATTTTACACTTCGTTGTTTAAGATATTAATGTTAACCAAAGAATTGATCGTGTAAATCCTTTGTTTTCGAAGAAATCAGGTTTTCAAATCTATATCATTACGGTGGAACAAATGTTAAAGAACTGATATTTTAAAGCTGCTTTTTTGATACGATTATATGCAAATAATTCATCGTCGAGTAGAATATGGAAATCAAAATGGTCGTACGAGACTGGTTGATTAATTCAAGTCCAGGGGTTACACGTTAGCTTCATTTACCGAGAAAAGCACTGAAAACTGTACGAAAATTAAACAGAGGAACAAACGGGAGCAAAAAATACAATGTGCGTAAAATATTGAATTTTATACCTTTCTGCCGCAAAAGCTGCGTACGAGAGTCTTATGTTTCTTTAATATTATACTTTTCACTGCTATTATTTTGTTTATAATTTTTGCATAATTAATTGTAAGATAATTCGTATCTAACTTGTTAAAAGAGAAGATTGTCATCGACTTATAGAGTATTACCAACCACGAGTCTGCTCGATCAACATGACAGGTGTTACAACAAGCACTAATATACCCTATGTTGTCAAATTCAGTTAACTTTAATTACATAATCGAATAGCCAAATATATCTGTATTAACTCTTTGCAGTACAGGATTCCAGATAATAAAATAGGTTCACGTTGCATATAAATTTTATTGCGTTTTAAATCAAACAAAATTGGTTTATTTTTACTAATAGAGGAATCGCATAATGTAAAAACATAAAAAAGTAATAATAATTTAATTGAATTTGTTGTTATAGGGTGGGATTCAAATAGCCCCATGTTGAATATCTTTATAACATTTGTCGAAGGTATTACCAACTGCTTTAAATAAATAAGACGAAATATAAACCTATGCGCATGCAGCTATTGCATATTCCAGGACTAAAAATGTCCCACCATGCATCACGGTGCATCAAAAAGGTGGAACATTTTTAACCCCAGCGTGCCCCAAAGAGTTAAAGTATAATAACAATCACGATGATACTTTGTCCAATTTATAGAAAATCAAACACCGAAGAATTGGGTGGCAATCTTTCTTATTCGAAACAACTTGGGCGATTTTTGCTCTTCAATCTCGATGCGTGCCACATAGAAATGTCGCGAATAGAATGCAAATGTTTATAGCTCTTGATCTGCGAATTGTATCGGAGAAATTAAACGGCAGAATCGTCTTTCGAGCTAAGAGTGCCTGCTCCATTCTGGACGCGACGCCGACTCGAGGGTACCCCGGAAGTATCTTCCATAACGTCGACATCTTGTAAATTGAAGAGCCTATCCTGGATGATTGGACTCTTCTCTCGCGATGCAAATATTCTTCTATGAATGAAAATACAATTTCCTCGCGAATACCGTCGAGGATGAACGCTCCTGGCTCGTTCTCTTTGCATGGAAATTAATTAAATCGATTGCCATTTCGTGATTGCTACTACTGAATTCGCGATCCCGCGTTTCGAGAAGTTAATTGCGAATTCCGTTCAACGTTAAATAACCGTGTCTAGAGAAAACTAGATGGACGAATATCGCGTACGATTATTATGAAAGTGTTTAAGCGCTACGAAAGTGTTTCGAGTCCTTTCGACGTGACAAAGTTTAACGTGACTGAAATAACCACTAAGTTTTAAATACTCCACTTAAACGCGTCGGAGACCGAGTTCGATAAAATTCATTTTTAGCCACTGCACTTGGAAACTTTTATCTTTTCAACTTATAACACGCTCTCTAGCGGTGCAAGATTTAAATAGCAAACTTCAAGAGAGTTAATCTAGATGATCCGACGCGTAAAAATAACTTTGCCTCAAAATTTCTTATCTCTCCTAACGATCGATGTAAACAAGCAATTCTTAAAACTGATATACCGATCACGTAATAATTCAAACACGAAAGAAATTCAATTAAAAAATACACAATTTTTCTGTATATTTCTATCTCCAATAATTTCCGAGATATGGAGAAAAATATTTTTCATCCCGACCTTCGAGTCCTTTAAAGAGAAGAGAAAAAAGGATACGAGTCGAACATTCTTTCGAAAACTATATAATCGCAAATTTCATGGCAATTAGTTACTCCTCT